GGAGCTCCCGCCGCCCGCGAGGGCAGCCGCGGTCCCCAGGCCCAGGTCCTCGCCGAGATGCTGCGAGCCTGAGCGCTCCGGAGCGGCCGGACTTTGTGTTTCCTGCCTCACGAGCGGCAAGTCTGCCTTCTGCGCGCGGGAGCGGAGCCGGGCGGCTTTGGTCCCCCGCCGGCGAGGAGCCGCCCCCGGGGGCGAGGACCCCGCGCACCGCGCCGGCCTGCGCATCCTCCGCAGCGCCGCGCCTTCGCGCCGGGAGCACGAGTGGGCGGACCGCCCCTTGGTCGTACGTACCCGGGAGGGCCCGCAACTTCGGGGCAACTTATTTCTGCATCGCTGGTAGCTGCTATCCCCAGAATGACCCGTCCCAACAGGTTCCTCGCTAGTGCCCCAGCTGCAGCGTGGTGGGAGGCGGTGTTAGCTCGAGTTTTCTGTTTAAATTGGGCATTACTGAGGACTTTGCAGAACAGGAATTCAGATAGTCCTATATATGATGTATGATATTAATATATAACATAGAACTCTTTTTTTGCTGGATAGGCCCCTCCTTAGACGTCAAGATCAGGAAAATCACACTTCACTACAATCTGGAAACTATTCAGGGAGGGAGAAAACTGAACACCTTTAAACAATTCAATTACCCCTTGCTTTGCTTTTACTTGAGATCATTCTGTTCTGTAGACGTGTCCTGACGTGCCAGTTCGCTTTGGTTTAGCATGAAATGTTTGCTATTTGATTTTTGTGTTTCATTTAGTCAGAAAAATCACTTTGAGATACACTTCTTCAGCAACCTGAGAAATAATTTCCATCTTTGTTAACAGATGAAATCAACAGTTCCATTGATACTGCATTGTTTAGAAAGAACTTACATCATCTTAAAAAAAAAAGATTATCTATATGCTGTGTGGTTTGCTGCAAGAAAATACTAGGCTTGCTAAAGAAGGAATGTAGGGCAGATGTACTTATTCTAAAAAAGATTTTGAGAGAGAGAGGTAAAAACATGTCTCAACTGAAAATATAACTTTGATTTGCAAAGTTTTGTTTTGTAAACATTGTGCAGGGTTTCTTGCGGCAAGAATCATGGTAAGTCTCCAGGAGGCAAAAACACTCTCCTGCCAGTATTTTCACTACAGCCACAGATTTCAGTGCACAAATAGTGTGCTGCCAAATTGAATTTTTAAAGTTAGTTCACGTCTACCTATATGAAGTACATTTTAACATAAATAGCCCATAGCAGGATTTTGCTTAGATGTAATTGGATGTCATCCTTCTGTGTTTGCTTGACAGGGCTATGATGGTGGCTCATTGTGAGCTGGAACGCTGAACTTCAGATTTTTACGAACTAGTTTGTATTTGGAAAAGTGGTATTTGCTTTTAATTTTGTTTCATTTTGCTTTGTCTCTGTAGTGGTAGACAGCTGTGAATGTAGTGGGTTTTTCCATTGCTTTCTACTCTGTGACTAGAATGTGGGTGTCTGGAGGGCCATGTTGATCAGGGCATTTTGGATTGAAATATATACAGGTAAAAAGTGTTGTCACTGAGGTCGTAGTAGAGTGAACTGTGCACGTAATTAATCATTAAAGAACACGTTTATATTGAAGGCTCGCGAAAGTATGCATAAAACTGGCATTAAAAAATCACTCGTGATTTTCTGTAAGGTTCAAGTCATATTTTATTTTAGTTCCTACAATACTGAAGAATTATACCTATCATTTGTAGTGCTTTGCTTTACTTGTCTTGAATTTCATAGTCATTTCCTGTGTATTTTTTTAACAGATTTTCTTGACACATTATGTATGTCCTTGGATAGTGGTTTTATGTCATAGATAGTTTTCTGCCAACCCAGCTGGTTGAATAATGTACTATAACTTTATCATTTAAAAAGCAGTTGTTTTTTTAAAAAATATATTTTTATTTGAATTTGTAGATGTAATATATGTGTGAATATGAATTCCATCATATGGATGAGAAAAACAGGAATTTGAAAGCCCAGTATATACTAGTGATTTGGACAAGGTTCTGGCAGCCTCAGCTCTTGTTAGACAAGGAAAGGTACAGTGGGCCGGGGGTGGAGTGGGCTGGGTTGGTGACACGTTTGTAGATTACATCCCGAATGCCATATAGTAGCGTGTGAATCGCCACTACCCATTGGTGTTGGAGGCCCAGGGTGAGTGTGTGGACAGGTCAGGGTAATTCAAAAGCTGTACTGAAAAACAACTCTGCCTGCTACCTAGAACAATCTATCATTCCTCTTGTGGGCAGCAGATTTTTTGTGTGTTTCTCTAATTTGGGGACCTTCCCAGGTTGGGAGACAATAACATACTGGTTGAACAATGGGAGCCTCTATAGCTCCGTGTGATTGTGTATAGCAAGTTCTGGGGGTAGAAAAACAGCAGCCTTTGCCACTGTGGTAGCACTCCTTGAACTGGTCACGTTCTTCCATGCTTTACATGTCAGATGCTTTTGGGAGGACAGTTGGAGGACAACAGTAGTGCTTCAGAAGTTGTTTTCTGTATTTTTATCCTTCTTCCATAGGAGAAATTGCATGGGTCTCCCTAGCCAGAGGTGTCTCTGCGGACCTAACACTTCCTGCTTGTGTATTCCCTAGGTAGACCAGGGGTTCTGCTTTTGACGAGAAAGTTGGTATTTGAGGCAGGCATCTTCTCATCTTTATCACTGTGCTTTACCACTGGTAGAATTCATTTGAGCTGCACAGCTCTTCCCATAAAGTGTTTTACTAATTAGTAGAGTTAGTGGGGAAGGCTTTTGTTGACTTGGGTCTCTGTGGCCTTTAGTTACTTTTGCCTCTCCTACTTCGTTCCCAGCAAGTAATTTTTTTTTTAAATGAACTATACTTCCATGAAGAGCACTTAGGGATTTAAACTCCTGTTCTTCATTTGTTCATTCTACAAATACTTGCAGAGTATTTGTCTCTGTACAGGAGTCGAATCATTACTGATGGTATGTGTATAGTATTCTGATTGTATTTCCGTTTTGCTTGGGAACACATAATTGAATTTGTGACTCAGGTGAAACTTCTCTGTGACCTGCCATCGTCTGTATCTAGCAAGCTGACCTTCCTGGTCCTAGTACTGTGCAGCAGTGTCAGGAAATGCCCGTCACCTCTCCAGATGGGTGTGTAGGTGGGACAGGCAGCAAGCGTAGCTTTATGGTAGGCAGCTGCCAGGCTAGCCTAAATCTAGCTCCCAGAAAGTCCCTTTGGCCCTTCCTAAATACGTGCTTGTTCCACAGCTGTGCTGATGACGGAGTGCCGCAGTCACTGTCATTCCTGCCTGCGCATTAGGTTCACCCTACAGAGCTTTTAAAAACTAGTTGTGGGATAGCCCAGCCCTCCCTCTCCCCAGCTGTGAGCTCAGGGATAGTTTTTAAAACTCCACAGGCAGTTCTGATGCAGCCAGCCTGGACAATCATCGGGCTAATAAGGCTTTGTACTCAGCCGGATGAGGAATATTCTAGGGAAGATGATCAGTCTCGTACTGGATGGAGATCAGATCTTTTCTGACACCCTGTCTGACTGCAGAGGGAGGAGGAGGAAGTCTGAGATTGGGAGAGTGGCTTGGCTTGGACTGCAGGACACTCAAATGCCTCAGGGGCAGTTGAGTTACTCAGGGTTTTTCTGGAACTGGCCTAGTTTACCTTTTCATCTGTTACTATGGGGACATTTTTTCTCTGAGCAGAAGAATCTTCGTGGGCTGCAGCCCTGGGGAAAGTGCTGGGTACCTGTAGGCAGCGTTAGTGTGGTGAGTTGGCAGCTTTGGTCTTGGGGCCATGAGGCGGATGAAGGGGGTAGGAAGAGAAGACTATTACCTTTAGCACGTGGAGACTGTCAGAATTAGTGAGATCCCTGGAATCCAGGAGCAGCTGCAGGAGGCCTCAAGGAGCTATGCGGTTGAGTAGGAATTCAGTGGAAGAATTGGCCTTTGATATTTGTCTTTAAGATTTATGTGAATTTCAGCAAGCCTAGGCTTTCTCTTATTCACATATAAGAATAAAAACATATCCCATTCCATTTCAGTTTATTTATGCCGTTGTCTTTAGCCACTCATATCCTTAGCGTAAAAATTTTAAAATAGGGTATGTATGTAGTGCAGTAACCTTTATTAAAGTGCTTAGAGTTGATAAAACACCAGGCACTGAGCTAAAATTTTGAAACTAGGGCTTAGGAAGACAATGGGCAAAGTTGAGGAATGCCTATTCTAAAATGTTTAATCCTTTGTGCTCTTTTCTTGGAATGTGGTTTTCTCTGATAGTGATTTTCTCTGATAACCAAGTCAAATACGTTTTAATTGTGTTCATTTTTAATATGCTTTTCTAATTTGCTACATATTTTTGGATTATCTCCAACAGAGAGCACTGACTTGAACTCCACCCTCGGAGTCCCTTTGGATCTCAGGCTCTGTTGAACCTCTAGGATGAAGACCTCCTGGCCTTCTAGCCCCTCGCTGACCCTTACTGCCTGATGGCGCAGGGGGTGGTGGAGGAGGTCGACCCAGGAGCCCCAGGCCTTGCTTTCTCATAGAAGCCTCTACTGTTGTTTTTTGTTGTTGTTGTTGCTATTTGCTTGATTTTGTCATTTACCACTTTCTCACAAAGGATAGCCCAGGGGTGACATGCAAGGCAGGAAAAGGAGACTGCCCTTCTGCCAGTTCTTTCAGAAGTGCAGCGGGCTCTCTGAGCTCTCTAGTACCTTTCTTGCTTTCTGTCTCAACTTCTGTTGATCTCAGGGCCCTTTAACTCGTTGGCTCCATTGAGCAGGTTGTGAGTCAAGTGTCACTGACCCTTGGGATTGTAAGACAGTCACTGATAGAGTGACCGCTCTGTACTCAAGGAAGAGGATTCCTTCCTGTTCTAGGAATTGGGGCTGTGGGTTTGGAAAGGCTGTTTTCTGGCAACTAAATACCGCCTTCATCACTCAGAGCTGATGCTTACAAACACAGTAGGAAACCTGAAGCTATAGAGTTGCTTATGACTTCTCCAGATAGGTTTTGAATCCTGGAGGTCATGGTGTCCTCATACCAAGTAGGCAAGCAAGCTGTGTCGTTGAACATGACTTTATGGTACTTTAAGGAGAGTCTCCCTAAATTATGTTGGAACTTTTACAGCACTGGATGTGCAGTGGCTGTTCGCATCACCTTTGTCATGAACTATTTCATGCCCTGAATATCTTCCTAGTCTTGCTGATGAACCTGTGGAATTACACTGTCTTGTGTAGATAACTTTCTTGTTTTAACATGAAACTTCCCCCAACCAGTTCTGCCCAGGGAGTGCTGCAGGACTTGAGCCACTGAGGGGTTGCTGGGCTAAGACCCAGTTTGAGGGGACCTGAACCTGTGCTTGGTGTGGCCAAAGGTTG